TGTGATATACCTGATAGAAACATCCAAACAATATACATGGGGATGTAAAATATGCATGGCCACTATATGTTGCGAATCAGGCTAATCAATGCTTTGTATTGATCCAATGTATTACACAAGTACTGGCTAAACACATTTCTATACCCGAAGACTGAGCCATATAGTAATGCAAGTTACTTCACAGTTCATTTATCATAGTCTCTGGTAAATTGTATATAGTTTAAATTCGTCCTTGCCTTTGAGATAAACAACACTTAAATGTCAGTGTGTGCATGGTCTGTCTAGGCACAGATGGTGGCAGCGATACTGCAGATTAAATTCAAAAGATGCCAGTTTCTTAAAGTTATAAAACCTAATTTGTCATATAAAATATAATATATGTAAATTTTTTGTATGATTGTAGTACATACTGTGCACCCTTTCAAACTGAGATGAGAATTTAATACATACGTATGTAATTGCATGCTTGCACCTGAATCATCTTCCGTCGAATTAAACAATATCACATTGAGTGCAAAATGTACAAAGGAAAATGATTCATCACAATGCAATATGCAAACCAACGTTGCACACTGCAGTTGGTTTTGTCTCAGACTAAAGTCTCTAAAAACCACAGAAAAAGTGATTCATGCTCTGTTATTGACTGTTAGACCACCACAGCTAGAAATCCGGCTGATATTATGTAATATGTTTACGCAACAGAATTGACAGGATAATGTATTTTACCAGTTGAAATATCAGGAACAACAGCACCAAAGGGAGCAGAATTGAACGCTGTAGGCACTCAATGGCTATTTGGAATGAGGGTAATGTTTTGTATTATTGATCTTCTGATGTCAGTGTGCATGCATTGTTGAGTGCATACTGTACATACAGTATGGGACACTGTCTCCATAATGTATAAATACAGTAACTGTGTGCACATACTTGTGTGCATACATTACTGTATACCATAGATGAGTGATAGGGTTTCCCCATAAGCCGGTCTAGGCCTTGCATTCCTCTCATTGGTGGAGTCTGATGTGTGGAGGCCTTTCAGCTAATCTGGGAAGAATGTCGGCTGCAGACACACATGTGTTCCATTAAGTCTAGATCTGCGTAAATAATATAACATGCAACAGCTAACGTTACAGGTAACTATACCCCCACAGCTGTGCCTTTGGCTTTACAGTGCCCCACCACCCCCGCCTATAAAAAGGCAAAAGCCAGCGCTAATATCTAATGAGTAGATGTATCGTAGCACCTACTGTGCTTTAGGCTGCTGATTCGGAGAAAAATAAAGATGATGAATATTTATTAGATAACAGAGGCTGACAGATAATGGATTTTAATGGATATTGAGAATAATAAAATCTGATAGCAATATTTGAGCCAGTATTCTTTTTTCTCCTCCTGTAATGTTTTTGTGTTAACATAAAAACATTACGTATACAAACATTATGTGATATGAACACGTGAATTAAATATATTGATTCTTGAATTAGGAAACATGTACATAAATTTTGCCAATAAAACATTTATTTCTGCAGTTTTCCTTTTTCTTATCTGACAGTATACATCTTGACACCAATATATTGCTGATAACACGATCTTTGGCGATAATATACTCATGTATCAGCTGGCCTCGATTAGATCATGGGGTGGTAGACATTTTTAATCACTCATTGCAGTGCAAACATGCAGCATCACACTTTAGCTTATTTTAGTGAACTTTTTCAACATTTGACACAATCCGAAACTGTGCATCAGCCTAATCAGTGTCATGAGCAGAAAAGTTCGAGTAGTGCAACAAAGCATGTCACAGCCCAACTTGTATCCCTCCCCCTATTGTTAATGGTTCTACATCCAGACGACCACCATTGGCTCACTGTGTTTATTGTCTGCTGGCTCAGCTCAGTACTGATTGGCTCGACCCTGCCGAGCGACATGACAATGTTTGCTTTTGCTGTCTGCCTGGGGAAGTCCCCCTTGTCCTCAGACAGAGCCCAGCGACAGCAACTGATACAAAGTTCAGAGGATGCCAGCCTCTTCCTGGTGTGGTGCAGCATCTTCCTGTGGCTGCACAACAAAGTTAGTCAGAAACTGCGAGTGAGTTACAGAATTATTTATTTATTTACCTTCACTTTTCTCAGAGAGGACTACAGTAGCATGAACGAACAGGCAAACTCTGCCTTCTGCTCTATTTTGGTCAGAACAAGAGTGTGGGTGTGAGGGATTAAAAAAAAGAATAAGTAGTTGGACTCAACATGGTGTCGAGAAGAGATGGTAAATGGCTGGCAGCATCTGGTTTGGTAGAAATATCACAGAAACCCAAAGCCAGCCAGAAAGTGAAAGAGAGGTGACAAGGGTGAAAGCATCTGAAGTGAGGACTAGAAAACAAAAGAAAGGTGTCAAAGAACAAGTGTAGAGAACAATGCTTCTTGCACTTGCAAACTGTTGTGAGCCAGCAAGGAAATGTGAGGAGTTTGGCTGTTGCTGTTCTGGGTGCCAGCACTCCTAATGAGTCTGTCAGGGCCAGTTAGCGCAGCCAGGACTGCCTGTGTCCCCTCCAGGCCGCAGACAGCTGTTATTAGCCCTGTAATGGCATGCCACAGGGCCAGATTAGCCTGGCACACTGGAGAAATATCAAACATTCACTTACTGTGGCTCCTTCGCTGGCTAAAGCAGCTATTCTGCGAGGCATTCATTTAGCTGCGATGCTGGCAAGCTACCTAACAAGCCACGAAAGAAAAAGTCTCCATTGAGAAATGCAGTCAGTGTACAGTAGCTCCTCTGCAGGATAGAAAGGAAAATAAATATCTGATTAGAGGATGTACAAGACACAACCAATCATGTTGCTGATCATGACCTAAAATTGGATGGTTTCACGTTAGATCTTCAAATAAATAGTCTCTCCCAGACCTATATTGCAATAAAGAAATCAATGTCAGCTTTGAATATAGAAATATATATATATATATATATAATATATAATTTTTTAAATATTTTTTTTTATAATTTTAGCTTGTTGGTGGTCAGGAAGGTGCAGCACCAAGGAAAGTTGTAAATGAGAGTTCTTTTTAATAATGCTGCGTCATCATTATGCGAACCATATCGACAAGATGGCCACTGCTGTCTACTCATCTGTTTTCACCTTTCATAATGAGCACAGGAAATCTAAATCTTACGCAGCAAGTACTTTCCCTCTGCCTCAGGGGATAGCCTGCACTGTATACAGTGATGGGCTTACGCCATTAGACCAGCATACTGTTATTACAAACCGTACACTGTTCTGCATATAACGCTGCTCAAAGCGTTTAAATCATGCTCTTTGAGCCTGTGATTTCTTGAATATGTATCATGCATGCTATGTTACATAAGCTTCTGCATTCATTGCTTGTGGGTTTCATTGCGTGGTAATCACTGTGTATTTAGAACTATAAACGCAAGCTGCAAAGGTGTGTTTATGGCGGTTTCACTGTAAATGCTGAGGCCTGCTATGCTCATGTGTGCACTGGATGCGTGCTTGCCTGCAACATGTGACTGACTAGAAGAGAAAGGCAGGGCCAGTTTTGGTTGGTTCAGGGATGTTTTCTCACTCAATTGTTAAATATAGTCAAATACTTCATGTCGCACTGCATAGCAATCTTAGGCCCTGCCCTTGTATTTGTGTCTGTGTGGTTGCATGCATGTCTGGGTGTTTTTTTGTGCATGTGAGTGTGATTTTTTTTGAGTGTGTGTGTGTGTGTATGTGTGTTGATGAGGTGACAGCGTGAATAGTAAAAAAGAAGAAGGGGAGACAGTAAAGCAAGTAAAAGAGTAAGAGAGATAATGTGATATTTGTTCTAGATTCCTGCACCATGTTTGTTCTCCCTCAGTAATCTACATCATGTCCTCATTAGCAGACTGTATGTATCAACTGTGGCAAAGACATTAAGAACTATACATAGCAGGCAGCAGCCATAGTCATTTCCAAATATAAATTCATGTTTTATCCTCTTATTTATGAGCAACCAGTTACCGCATCACCAGTTGCAGCATTTATTTTAACAGCAGGCAACACACAGAAGCTAATATAGACTCTCAAACACCAGAAAGACATTTATTTTATCAATTAACACACACACACTCACACACACACACACAATAGGTTATCAGACGATAGAAACAACATGCAAACTGTTTAACAGATGTTACTGAAGAGAGATGTTAATGTAAGAACAACAGAATACCAAGGACTCACAAAGGTGCAGTGAGGTTTGTATAGCTGAGAGTGAGGTGAGGAGAGAGATAAACACAAGGAGCGAGATATAGACAAAGTGAAATTTGAAGTGAATCCTGGGATGTATCCCCGCTGTGGCTGTGGGCCACGGTGCGAAGCCCACTGAGCCGCACCGTCTTTCCCTGGCAGAGACCACTTGTTGCGAATCATTAGCTTCCAAACTACCGAGAGCTTTGCCATCGCTCCTTCAGGTTGTGTTATGCAGCTGAAACCCACACGGAGAAGTACAGGGAAGAGCCAGCAGGCATAGAACCCACTACACTCTAATTATCAGCTGTGTAACATATAGAAAGATGGAGTCAGTAGTACAGTGGAGCAGAGCACAGGAACCCTGGCTACCAAACACAACAGCTTAGTTCCATTAGTGCCGCTACTGAGCCAACCTTATCCAGTTATTATGTGTGGTACATCACCATGAGGTGATGTGATTTAACATGGCAGCCAATGTTCAGGCTCTCCAGCGTGGTGGAAATTTATGAAACACTAACAGTCACAAAATGACGACCATGAGAAGAACTGCAGTTAGGTTTGATCCCTGCACAGCGGATAAGAAAATTAAACATAGGTAACTTTGAAACTAAATTACTTTGAAGCAAACTTAATTCAAACCTGGATCTTTTGATTGTGATTTCATTATAGTGTTTGAAGTGTTTCATCCATGCTAAGTTTCACGCTGAATTCTCCGTGAAAGAAAGAAAATATACTTAAAATCTCTCTCTCTCTCCTCCTCCTTCTCCAGAGCAGATACGGTGCTGCAGATCGAGGTGTGAGGCTCTACAGTTCCCTGCCCATGCGCCCAAACCCTGACGGCAAGAGACTGCCCTCTACTGGGGTAAGAGTCATCTCTCCCAGCCTTCTCTCCCCCCTCACCCCTGCTCCCTCACCCATCGGTCTCATCCATACCTACGTGTCCCTACATGTCTACAACTAACCCATACAGTGAGAGCCATTGAGGCCTTACCCCATCTACAGCAAGACTGGCCAAACACAGAATAGTAGTGACAGTTCAGAACCAGCACAGATTTTGATATTTTGCAGTTTCATGGGTCGAAACTTTTTTTTTAAATATGTACCCCTTGGATGCGCAGTAGCTGTGTGCTCTTGATTCTGTGACAGATATCTGGACTGGAATCATGGTGCAATCAAGTGCAACCCAAAGTTTAACATTGTTTTAAGGTTAACATCTTCCTCAATTACCATTACTTCTCCGTCACCCTTTAACCCCACAGCCCACCCTCCACCACCACTAACACATCCAGTGAACTCTTCCCACACTCACACTGATAGACCTACTCAGTCCTCCATTCTCAAACCATCCTTGGCCACCGCACGACTCCCAATAAAGCACACATCTGACTTGGTGGTTTGTGTGGTATCTGCCTGGTAGCTTCTTTCACAAGCATTTTGCTGTAGCTGATAGGCCAACCAACCGTCTCCTGTATTTGTGTTTGCACAGAACAAAGGCACACAGTGGCTTTCTGAATACAATGCTTCCACTTTGGACCTCTTTTAGGTTTACAAAAACGGAAGGGCAAATGTTGATTAAGTGTAGAAATTAGAATATGTCGGTGATTTCCCCTTTATTTCTACTTCTTTTGTTGTAAAGCAGCATTATTGGGACAACAAAGTCTAATTTTTCAAACTATTTTATTATATAATTGTTCGTTTGCTTAGAAAAAAGAAAAAAAAGATTACGTTTATTGAAGTTTAGTGATGCAGCACTCGCAGTACTTTGACTTTGACAAAGTGCTGGAACAGTAAGTCTACTTTGTTTGTGACACCTTTCTTTCATTTTTTTAATAAAAAAAGAAATCTTTTAGTATTGTGAAAAATCATAATTAGAATCTAGCTTGCCTTGCTTTTATGCATTTATGCATTTATGTAACAAAGGAGAGAAAATGAAAGAACAATAGAGCGAAAAGAGAGAATTTAATTTCATATGTCTCCCTTTTTCATGTTTCACTCCATGCAAGTGCTTTTTGAATTATCTCTTCTCTGCTCCAGGGCTCAATGAGAGAAAGAGTGGGTGAGCGAGGGAGAGACAGAGAGGGAGTGAGGAAGAGAGAGACAGACAAAGCGAAAGCTGTGTAATATTGTTGGTGCGCACCTTTTTTAATTACAACAGAGATTGTATTGATGTCTCAGGCCACATGTCCTCAATCATTTATCAAGGGAGAGAGTGCTAACAAAGCATTTCTAAGAAACCCATCCTCTCCTAGGGCCTCGAATCATACGTTATCTAAAGTGAATATTGTTAATGCTGTTCTGTGGAGAGACCCACTTACAAATCATGGGAATGAGTTCCTTGTCAGTACATACATGAGGTAGTAAAGATATATATCCACTTTTATCTGATCTACTGTTGTGCAAATTAAACTCTGCATCTAAATCTCTATGCAGGAGTTTATAAAATTAAGATGGCCATGTTCAAAACGATGGATAAACATTAATTTAAGGGAAAGGAACATTTCTAAATCACCTAGTTGTTTTGTTCGGCACCAATTTAAAGATTACATCTGGCACAGATTAGAATTCATTCAAAACCAAAAAAAAAAAAAAAA